AAACGTTTTTTCAATGCGATATAATTACTTCTTTCTTCGAGTATTTCGTTTCAACAAGCAAAATAGAGAAATTATTTGTGAAATGTATCAGCAGTGGCATGGATCAGTTCGAACGATCCAGGCCATTGTTTAATGGTCCAATATTTCAAGCTATTCAATCAATTACATAGTTTCTTATGTCTTCTTATGCTTCTACGACGATAATTAAACGATTGATCATGAGGTATCGCTTCAAACTGCGGCGTTCCACTACAATTATCGAGGCAATATATCCAAGTGTATCATGCATAACATTTATAAAAATTAAACAAGAACAAGTGGTTTTCTTATAACTCTACATTATCGATCGAGGCTCGAACACGATTGAAACTGTCCAACTACACGATCATTATTATTATTAGTTGTTATGCCGATGTTTAGCGCGTTAAAGCTTGATAAATGGCACCGGTTACTCGATAATGATGACATCTTTGTCGGTTTACAGGTTGCGACGGTGCCGGATGCGGCTACCCTGGGGCCCCAGCGCATAGTAGCGTCCGGTTCACGGGTGCAAGTGCCGAGGATGTTATAGATGAGGAGGATGCCCTTCTAAAGGACACGGTGCTGCTCGAGGGCACCGTGGCCACGTATTCCTGCGAACGAGGCTTCGAGCTCCTCGGCCCTGCGCGAAGGCAGTGCCAAGTTGATGGCTCTTGGACACCGGAAGGAGTGCCATTTTGCGGTAAGTTTTTATTATAAAATTTTCGAACACAAAATGGAAAGTATATTTATAAAGTGATTTTAATAACTAATTTCAATCAAGTTCCAAATTAAGCAATATTAAAGAGTAGAGTTAAATATCGTTCAATTTTTATCCTTTGATTTTTGCCCATATTCTTTTGTATTATTATAATTCTCACGTTCGAAGGTGAATAGGTTGTATCGGAGGATTTGAATGGTAATTGAGAAAGGAATATTGTATGTAAAAGACACAAGATTGCGCTGACAAAAGAATTGTTGGACAAAAGGTGTTGGTATGTGATCGGGGGAGGGGGAGGGGGGGGAGGAGCAAATACGTTTGCGGATGTAGGTTTAAGAGAAAGTTTCACGTTCCAAGGAAACTTGTATACGTATTTCCGGTCACGCCTGTTGTAGAGTGTTTTATCAAATAACGAATTGATATTTACGACGCCGTACCTTCGCAGCATAATAATAATTGTCAAGCAAAAAAAAAAAAAAAAAAAAAAAGAAAAAAAAATTCAAACGAAACGTTAGATTTCAGTGTTAGGAAGCAATTAATACAATATTAAATTACTGTCAACAAGAATAATTCTGAAATTTAAAAATCAAAATTAAAATTAGAATTTGATGCTTTTTGAAATTTTTTTTTTTCTTTTCAATTCAAAAATAATTCTACAAGGAGAACGTACGTATGAATCGTCGGTACGAAAAGTTTTCGGGAGGCAAGTGACCTGATTCAGGGTGTCCTTGACCGAGGAGACAGTAAAAGAAATGGGAAAGATAGTGGGGGCCTTACACCGTTAAGTCTGAACCTGTTACCTCCTAACAACGCCCGCGGCCTTCTCAACCTGGCGCGCATTCCTCGCATAGGTTCTGTCCTTCCTGGCCCACCTCGAATTTATTTCCTCCTTTAACATTCCGATCTCTCGAGATCAACCCTTCGCTCGAATTCGATACAGCTTATAAATTTATTTGAAGTAATTAAAAATTGTGATTAAAATTTCATCTTAGAATTGAATCGATGAATGATTGAAAAATGGATGGAAGGAAACGAGTAAAGTAAGAAAAAAAAAAAAGAAACGATGGCATTTGAGTTTTTTTTTTTTTTCTCTTCTAAAGTAATATCAATCACTTTAATCTTCTCGGTTAATCTGATTCTTTTTGCCTCCTTACTTGAAAGAGATTTTTTTTTTTTTTTTGAAATTTTATTGCACAAACAGTTATCATCTATGACGAAATGAATTCGTCTTGTCCAATAACAACAAAAATAATAGCTGTGAATGAACTTTAGAGAGGATAAAAATATTAAATATTATCCAAACGATTGAAGAAAATTTCATGAACGATAAAAATAAGTTACTTATAACAATAAATCAAAAGTTTGAGCAATATATATATATATATATATATATACTCTTATTAATTTTATTTTTATCTTTAATACGACTCAAATCGTACGAGATGTAACCGACAATCCAAAGAAACGGCATAAAATATCCGAGAACTGGGTCGTCATGGCGTCGAATTAGAACTACGTGATTCCGACACGGTGGAACGATTGCAACATTTGTCCTCCACCTTATTCAAAGTATTTTTGCAGTTGAAAAAAATTACACGCACATTCCAATACCGATCTTGTATCTGTATATTGAAAAACAGTTAATTTTTACCTTTTTCTCCCCCTTTTTTTTCATTTATCGATAAGATGAAAAAGAACTTCCAAAGTACACTTTAATCGATACGTTACATAAATTTCCATTCGATCAGCATAAATGATAAACCAAGAGGTATACAGTATATATATATATATATATATATATATATATATATATATATATATATATAGTAAGTAAGTTA